TGAAATTCTACAATTTAAGACTACAATTTCAGATTGATCTCTGAGACAATATAAAGTAGAATAATACAGATAAGACAGAATAGGAGTTGAGAAAGAAAGAGAAACAATGCATAGTGGCTAAATAATAGGCAGACCTTTATCAGCAAATTAGATTTAAAGAAGATGCACAACTAAGAATAATAGTCAAGGTTAATGTAAAGGAAATCATATATGAAACATCATAGTCAAACTGATTAAAGTTAAACATAAAGAAAAAAATCTTCTATAAATAAAATCAAGACTGGGAGGATTGTGTGGGGGGATGGGGGGAGGTTGGAAAGGGATGGGAAGGGGAAACAAAAGAGGAGGCTACAATGCTTGATAAGAAATGTACTCATTATCTTGCCCATGTAATTGTAACCCCCTCTGTACAGTATTTTCACAATAAAAAAATTTCCAGCAAAAAAAAAAATAAAATCTAGAGGGAAAATCCATTGCATACAACATAGCAATAAATACCACTTGAATTATCTATCTGAAACATTAAATAGTTAAATACAATGGAAATTTTAAAATGAAACATTGAAAGAAAACCACCAGAGAAATATTAATTAAGAATTATTATATCCAGAGAAATAACAATCAAGGTAAAGAAAAGAAAAGGAGAAAAATAAAGTAGTTTAAGGTAAATACCTTGAAGAATACATTTTATATTTTTATTTCCTTAAATATCAAACAACTGGTTAAATTTGTTAGGTCTAGAATAATACAACTAATATTTTGCTATTTATACCACGTAAAGAATTAATGTACATAAGAATGCTAGACAAAAAGTTGAAAGGTCATGAATGGCTTTGGAGATGGACTGACTTTGAGCTTGCAACATGCTAGATTCACCCTGACATGTTGATCTGCCTGGAAGAAAACAAACAAAAGTAACAAGACAAAGACAAGATGGAATTTTAAACAAAATGGCCCTATGAGGAAGATGGAGATTCAGTACAGCTGATCTTTAAGATGCCAACATGAATTTACAGTTAAGCTGAGGAGGTATTGGGACAGGCAGTTGTAGTAGTACAAAACTAAGCAATCCTGGCCAAAATATTCTTGGGGCAAAAATCATGTCCAAATATGGTTCTTCAAGAGTGTCCAAGAGCAAGGTAATTTAGTTTCCAGGTAACCATTGCTACTTCATGGTGAGGGGTCTCATCACAGTGTGGTGCCACTGTTCCTAGAAAGCTAGACTGCAGGAGAACAGTCTTTCAGTCATGTTTTCTGTAATTTGTTTTGTAGAAGGTAACTGACAGCAAAATGTATTAGTTACTCTTATCTTTGAGATTTCAGCATTGAAAGAGGCTGAAACTCATCAGTTTTAGGGAAACAATTAGAATAATTATCATGCCTATAGGCAGAGTTAAGTCGATGTCTGAACCAAAATAAAGGAGATAGCTGAATGAAGGTAGAGATGCTTGACTTTTTTTCTGGTTTTTAATTACCTGTGAGATCAGTTGAAGAATCAATATTTTTGAAACAAAAAATTAATTAATAAGATTTATTTTAATTAATTGTCAGCTTCTGAAACTTGACCAGACTTCAGAGATTTCCACATATCCTCTCTCAAATAGCTTTTAAATTATTAAAAGTCTTGCTTCAGTGATGTACACTAAATAATTGTGTTTTTTTGCAAAAGTAGTATTTTGCTTTGTGATGCTTATATTTATGATAAATTGTATTTATAATAGTTCAAAACAATACATGTATAATCATGACAGAGATAAACTTTCTTAGATATATATTTAGATACATAGAAAGAAATAGTGAGAAAGAGAAAGTAATAGAGAAACTATTTGAACGGGGCCACTACTTTGTTCATGACTTTTAGCTTGTATTGTGACTCCTTGTCAGAGCTATAAACTAAGAAAATAAATCGATAAAAAAAATAAACAAAACTGGTCAAAATTACAAGGAAAAAATTGCTAAAATATTTAAACCAATTATTTTGTGAACTTTACTAAAAAAATCCTGCAATAAAGACACATCAAATGAGTAGAATGCAGGCAATAATGCAGTGTATATGCCACAGAACTGAAAAACATAAGGGACAGGTTGGGTAGAAGGCAGGGAGGGGGGAATGCATAACCTAAAATGAATTACTGACCAGTGTTTTTAATTTGTAAATTTATAAGTACATTCTAGTTAGCACAAATGAGGAAAATCATGTAATCCATGTTTCTTTGGGTCTGGCTTACTTTATTTAATACAATATTTCCAAATCTTTCCATTTCCTTATGAATGATACAATATCGTTCTTTCTGATGGAAAAGTAGAATTCCAGTGTGTGTGTGTGTGTGTGTGTGTGTGTGTGTGTGTGTGTGTGTGTGTTACACTTTCATGATCCATTCCTCCACGGAGGGTCATTTGGGTTGATTCCCTATCTTGGCTCTTGTAAACATTGCTGCAGTGGAACATAGTTGTGCTGGTAGTTTTAGTGTGGCCTTATTTATGTTCTATTGAATAAATGTCCAGGAGTGGAATTGCTTGGTTATTGAGAAGCTCAATAGTTATTGTCTTTTTTTAGGAATCTCCATACTTGCTTTCCCAGAGTGATTGAACAAGTTTACATTCCCACCAAAGTTCTGTTTTGGCCAAATCCTCATCATCATTGATATAGTTAGCTTTTTTTTTTTTGATGATGCTATTCTAACTGAGATGAGGTAGCATCTCAGTATTCTTTTGATTTGCATTTTGTTTATGGCCAGAGATGTTGAATATCTTCATGGGTCTATTGGCCATTCTTACTTTGTCTAAAAAGTCTCTCTTTAAGCCATAGCCTTTTTATTATTAGGATTGATGTTTCTTTGAGAGTTTATTTTTGGGAGGTTTAAGTTTTGAACTCTAAGTAGATGTCACATATAAGGCCCTTATCTGATTAATAGCTAGTAAAACTTCTCCCATTTTGTAGGTTTTCTATCTAACTTGTTAGGTATATCCTTTGCCATTCAGAAATTCTTCAGTTTGATGAAATTCCATTTATCATAACTTTTAATTGAAAAATGGGCAAGTAAATGTTAAATAATTAAATTTTAATGTAGTTAATCTCTCCCTATATCACTTTACTACTCCATTTGGCTTTCTGTATAGAAGCAGCTACTGTTAAGTCATTTGAATATCTGGAATAATTCTATTATTTTTGAACAAATGGTGACATATTGCATGTAATTAACCAGTGTAACTACACAGATGTGAAAAGTCTCAGAAATATGTTCACAGTTAATAACATAATAAAAAATTTGAAGGTCCAAACCATAACTTCAAAAGTGTATTGTTGAGCTGGGCACAGCATTATATGTCTATAATCCCAGACATTGAGTGGAATAATAAAGGAATATCTGTCCAAAGTTATATTCAGACAAAAAGTGGGATGGTCTATCTGAAACAAAAATATAAAGTGAAAAGAAACTGGAACACACGTCTAGTGGTAGAGCTCCCACTTAACAAACATGTGGCACTGAGTACAAATATTAACACAACCAAACATAAAAGGATACTGTCTCCTCTAGTACCACTCCAGCGCAGTAACCACACATGATAAAGTAGTTCAACAAGTCTGAAATGTTGCACAAGTGAGAGATTCTAATGTGTGGCTTTTCAACTGAAAATGTAGCCACCAAGTGTTCCTGAGGTTAATAGGTAAAATTCTCCCCACTAGCTACTTCATGTCTTCCCAGTTTACTTCATGTTAGGGAACTCAAATTCCAGCATAGGGACTCCTCAGAGAGACACAGAGAAAGGTAGAAATCACTCAGGCATCATTGTATCCTATCTAGACTAATACCTGACCCAACACATGGCATGACCTGGGGCACAGCTGCTATAAAAATGTAATTCTCCTTTAACCCCTCCATGTAAATCACCAGAATGCTTCCCTCCACTGATTTAAACAAATTTGGTCTTTGACCTCTAGAGTCAGGATTGGCCTCAACAGCTCTTTCAGATGTTTGTCTCATGGTCTGTTTGATGTATGTCAACTGTCATAAAACAAATTATATTTCATGAGAGATATTCACCTAATACTACATATGTCCAGAGTTAAGATAACAGTGTCTTTATTCTAAGCAAAGCAGTAGCATGAAATACTGCAGATTAATGAAATAATCCTCATGGTTGTATCAAGGTTTGGAATCTCCTGCAACAGTGATTTGTGGCATTATTTCCCCCACTGAAACACCTGCCAGTGTTCCTCTTATGGGAACTTCAAAAGGTTCCCAATAAATACCAAATGCTTGAAAAGGCTTTCTTTTGTTCAGGAAGGGACTTTTTTTCTGAATCTACGGTTTTCAATATTAACATGACTATAACAGTTCATACAACAAACAGTTGCTTAATAATATACCTGTAAACATTGACATCTGATCATTTGAGATGCCCCAGAAGAACCAAAAAATTAATTTTGTTAGGTTTTCTGGAGAAAGAAAACCCCAACAGTAGATTGATCATCTTCAAATAAAATGTATGCTCTATCATTGAAGGATAGTCAATAATAATTTTCTTAATTTTTGTAAATCTTTTACTTTTTCAATGGGATTTCAATAAATTCTACTTATATATAGATAAATATAGATATGTAGACACAGATAGACAGTGATATAGATCAGTAAATATATATAAATATAATATATATTTCAACGTTGCTTGGTTCAGAATATTTAATAATCTAATACAGAAAGATATTGAATTGAATGTAGCATTAAAATATTTTGGTACTTAATAGTTCAAAAATTGTTTTATTTAATTGAGACCAACTGGACTCATTTCTTCTTATAAACTTTGCAATATATATTCAGAAAAAAAGGAATAAAAATGAACAGATGTTTCCCCTTAAAGGAGGCAGACAAAGATTTTTGTTACACAATAAATCAGCTCCTAGTAGATTTCCAGGGCATTGCTGTAGGCTATTTAGGTATAAAATTAAAAACACACATATACACACCACACACACATACATGCACACATCATGTTACCTCAGTATGGATCCAGAATTGGTAGAGTAGATTGAACTGAATATGGACAGCATACACTGATGGTGGTATACAGAGAGCCAAGGGAGAGTAGAAAATCTTTAAGATAAAAAAGAATTAGTGCTAATTTGCATATATGATTTCTCAGCATAAGCTTAATTATGACATATATTATTTAATTATAACATATATATTTCATTAACATTTTTGTCTTCGTATTATTAAGTTTTTTCACATGAGGGTACAATTGCAGACATGTTAGAGAATAGTCTATGAAAGTTCTATCTTAAGTATAATGTTTCTAGTTACACTATCAATTTCAAAGTTAATGTTATTTCCTTAATTTTGAAAAGATAAATATGCTTCCTTGGAAGTATAGTGTTTTTTATGAATAAATACACATTTATCATTGAAGTACAAAAACTGTAAAAACATTTACCTTCAGACCTTGACAACTTCCATATTATTATCTGTAATTTTCAGTAATAATATTAGAATACTGTAAAAGAATGTAACTTCAAATAGAGGAAGAGTAGAATAGGTTTTTCCATTATAAATTTTCTTTTACATAGCTTACTGCAGGCTTCATATCTCTTCTTTTTTGTTGTATGAAGGTAGGAGGTGTGATATGGTGCCACAGAGGGAACACATTATAACAGTCCATGCTTCCTAACAGACGGAAATGCCTCTGCCTTGGAAAAACAGCTTTTGCTTAAACCACAGAACTGCTCACAATCAACTAATAAGCACGATCTCCTGTATTCTCCTAATGACTCTGATCCCCAAGAGTGGTTTCATGTTAGAAGGAAACATTTTATTAAATGAAAAACTAAATAACCAAATAAGAGTTAAAAGAATCTTACTTCCAGTTTTCATTTCTCTGGTTTTTATGGAGCCCTTTTTTCCCAAAGACTGGACATTTTAGAACCTCTTATTTGTTCTCAGGAAAATGGTGTTTCAAAGATACTTAGTAATAATTATGCATATGAAGTTACATACATTTTCTAGCTTCGTTCTAAACTTAACTTATGAAAAATATCCACTGTCACTGTAAGTACAGTCAGTCTGATTATTTATAGATGGATTATGAAGCAATAGATTTACATGATTGAGCAACAAAAGAACACAAGGACTTGTCAGGTTGAGTATTGTTTCTCTCATTTGTAATCCTATCTACCAAGGAGTCTGAATTTGGAAATATGGAGGTTCAAGGCCACCCTAGGTAAAATATTAGTGATACCACATCTCCGTAAATAAACTATGAATGGTAGATCATGTCTGTCAAGTTTGTAATTCCAGGATATAGGCATATACACCATCTAGGACTGGGCCAAACTCTGAGATCCTATCTGAGCATTAACCAAAGCAAAAAGGTCTGGGAGCATGGCTCAAGTGATAGAGCATCTATTACAGAATTCTTTATTATATTCACACAGTTCTTAAATAGAGGACTGTTTCCTCAAATTAGCTGGGACAGAAAAAATGCTATTTGAAATCTAGTCTTACTTTTTAGTTCCAAAAGAGCTATGGTACTATGATTTGATTTCTTTTTCTTTTTGTAATGTATTCAAACAATACAAATATTTTCAACTCTGACACAGACCTCATTGAAAGGTGAGACAAAAATATAAACAACATATTTTGGAAGCTTTAATAAATACTCTGTTTGCAAAAATGCATGGAAATTTAATACTTGTAGTTCCTTACAATTTCCCAGAGGATGGATCAACATTCTCTTGAGATAATAAGAACTCTTATGAAAAGTGGGCTCTGTGATAGAGTACTAGGTTAAATAAGTAATGTTTCTTTAAAGGAATCTTCAGTTCATTTACTTCAGTTCAAATATGAATCAAAGTCCACAGTTCATAAAATATTTTAATGAATTTTCCATGGGGTTAGAATTTCTAAAAACAATTATCTTATGAAACCATGTCCAAATTTTTAAACTGAATAGATATAAGGATCAATTGGTTTTATGGTTGGCAAGCAGGGGAGACAACAAAAGGATCCTTTAGTGGCATTAAAGAAGCTGGGAATGAGAGAACACATCCTATTCATGGTTTTAAGCATATCAGAAATATAAACCATAAGTAACTTTTGGAGCCTGTTTGAATAACCCAGTGAGAACAGATGTGTGTTAATAACAATAGTCAGGAGATAGTAGAATACATAAAAAAGTGGTAAAGATTTGATATCTGTATAAACATGGCAATGGAGATGGATGGAGGAGTAGCAAGATAGATTTTGAATTTTCATGGTAATCGGCAGTGTCATCCGCTGGAAAACAGAAGGAAGAAGAGCTAGTAAACAAGAGCATGGAGGATGCTGTGTTGAGGTATATCTTATGCAGCTATTGAGTAAGCAATTCAAAATGTGTACTTGGAATCAGATATCCAGTACCAGAAGGTATCTGGATTAGCCTTGCTCCTATGGATACCAGATCTCTATTGTATGTACTTGAGTGAAGTAAGTTCATTGGGAAGACAGCAGCCAATATGTGACTCCACATATTTCAGCCACTTAGGCTGAAAGAGGATCACAGTGGTAGGGAAGATCTGGTTCTTGTTGTCATGAGAGACAAATGTTAGAATATTAAAAAAATGAAAGAAGACTCCCAGTGAGTGCCCATGGAAGGCAGGAATCAGAAAACAAAGTGTCACTAGATTTGCAGATATGGATACTGGAGCAGTAAACCTGAAATTCCTACCTCCGTTATGTTTGAGTTTCCCAAAAGGTGGCAACATAACAAGAAGAAGCGATTGCTCACTTCTGTCTTTCCCTGAGAACAGGAAGGAGACAGATGGAGGTGTTTCTAGAACATCATGCTGGACAAAGGGTATTTTGTTTTTTGAGTGACAGACGTTAAGAGTACCTGGTTAGAGAATGTCTAAGAAAGTAAGTAAAACAAGTGTAAAAGCATCCACCTAATCAGTAGACTTGCGATAGAATGAATGTTTTATTACAAAGAAAATGTTAAGAAAGCATGTCCACCTGTGAATTCAGGAAGTCTTAATTGAAAACTCATGAACAGGAAGTAGATTGAGTTTTGAGTCCCATGTCTTCATCTGGTCCTGAGGTAACACATGGAGATAAGTAGGTGAAGACACCAAAATTCTATATGTTTAAGGCTTGCAAAGTAGTGCCAGGTTTGGAAGCTGTACTTGTGGAAGATGGGGGAAGGGTTTGGGGTTGGAGAGAGGAAAGTAAGGGGGACACAATCCATATAGCAGAGCCGAGGGTATCTCTTCACTCAGCCCCTGGCAGATGGGACTGGAGATGATGGAAATTTGAGTCAGTCATTTTTTCAGGTGTTGGACAATTCAAGGCAGAATAGAAGAGGTCCAGGTTGGTCTTGACAGGCATGAAAATGGCAGACTTTTGGTTGCTTGACATGTATAATAAATTAGGAAGACTGGACAAACTGGGAGGCAAAGTAAGGATTGAGGAGTGAGAGCTATGTACTGGTAAACTGCTAAGCAAGATGGCTTAAATGTTTTAATTTTAAATAAATAGAAAAAATATTATTGTTCAATGACTTCAATAGTCAGACTTTAATGAACTATTCTTTTTTTTTCTTTTTTTTTCAGTTGTGGGGCTTAAACTCTGGACTTGGGTGCTGTCCCTGAGTTCTTCAGCTCAAGGCAAGTGCTCTACCATTTGAGCCACAATGCTACTTCTGATTTTCTGGTGGTTAATTGGAGATAGAATCTCACATACTTTCTTGCTTGGGCTGGCTTTAAACCATGATTCTCAGATCTCAGCCTCCTGAGTAGCTAGGATTACAAGCATGAACCACCAGCCCCTGGCTAATGAACTTTTCTAATATTTATACTTTTAGGATTCTTGTCTCTTTAAAAACATAATATTTAGTTTAGAACAAAAATTAAAATTTTAATTACTCATTAGAACAGAACCTCTAAAGATTGATAATCAAAGAATGCATATAGCATTCTTAAGTCTGATTTGTGGAAAGAAAATAAAGGTTCTCCACAGGATGACCCATTGCAACAATGATACTCACAAGACACTGTTAGATATGATCTTTACAACTTTGGGGAGGGGGGAGAAGTGGGGGCAGATCAGGGAGGGAAGAGATAGTAGGAAAAAAACACAGGAAGAGGTAACAATGCTTGACAAGAAATTTACTCATTACCTTACTCATATAAGGGTAACCTCTCCGTATAGCATCTTTATAAGAAAATAAAATTAAAAAAAAAAGAAAAGAAAGCTGCTCTGGTTACTAACAAAGAGATCCAATATCCAAACTTAAAACAACTTCTATTTTGTGTTGGAGTTAAGTACTTGTGTTTATATTAAGAAAGCCCATGTCCTGAGGCAACCAAGCCTAATTTTCTAGTCAAATGCACTTTTATCTATTTCCCTATGACACATCCCACCATCTGAAGATACTACTTTCTAGCTATAACTTGCCCTGATGGGTTAAAATGATGTCTTCTCCAAAGCGCAGGTGAGGTCCCAACAGGGCATCTAGTACCAGAGAATGCACAAAGGAAACATCCTTTCAGATGTGATCAAGTTATAACCAGTTAACTAGGATGGTCCTAATCCAATATGGAGAACATAGCAACAGACTAGCACTGAGAGAGAATACCAAGTGAAGATAAAGGTGGAGATGGCAGTGATGGATCCAGGAGTCAAAGGATGCCACACCTTGCCTGCAAACCGGAGTGTTTCAGTAAGAGAATGGATCTTTATCTCCTTCATGCGCCTCTGAAGGAGCTAGCCTTGCAGGCAGCTAGATTTCACACCCGGGCCCTCTGGAACTTTAAGGCAATATGTTCTTGCTATAAGCCAGCACATTTTTCATAGCTTGCTCTTAGAAGTAAGTGCTCAGGAAACTAAGGGATGTATTACACATCTTCACCACCATTCCATAAATAACATATTTTTCTAGAATTTTATAGTTTTAGTAGATATCATCATTCTACATAACAATTTATAAATTTAACCTTGACAAAAGTTTTACTCTTCTAGCCGGGTACCTATGGCTCACACCTACAATCCTAGCCACTCAGGAGGCTGAGATCTAAGGATCACGGTTCAAAGCCAGCCCAGGCAGGAAAGTCAGTGAGACTCTT